ACCAAATTGATAACAACTATATCCCACATGTGAGGATAATTATCATTTCATTCAAAGCATGTGATATCATGTTTGATAAAATTTTTCCCCTTTAAATGCACTTAAATTTTTTGGTATATGATCGAAACATCTACGGAACTTCCTTGGAAGTCTTCAGTAATCTTTGGTTATCTAGCCTGCATAGCAGGCGTCTCTAAAAAAGCAACAAAGGGAACAAAACTGCGAGCAAATGCACAAAATAAGGAGCAGGGGGAGGGGGTGAGGTGAGCGAAGGAATCACCTGCAATCAATCCCAGACATTTTACCAAACGCCCCCAAATATGCCACGCTCCCTTGGGGCAGCAACAGTCACATGAGAACCAATGATCATTAACGTCCGGTGAATAATTTTTGACAAGTGCCCAGCATGAGCTTGATAGAGTCTGCTAAAAGCAAATAGTGCACGTAAATATGCTTCCATTCTATAATGATAAGGCTTCACGCCTGTCATTGTTCATTTAAAAACAAAACAAAGTTTGGAAAATGGAGATACATAAGCTGGATCAAATTGATGCAAGAAACATAAGAACTTCTCTATACAAATGTATAGCTTTCTCAAAGTAAAGAAGTGGCAGTCTCTGAAGAAAAACTGGATGAAGATGATACATGTATCTGTGATATCGTGATATAATCTAGAAAAAACGTACTGTACTTGTGAACAGTTCTACTGAATCGACCTAAGCCAGGCGGCACAACAGATGTGCACAATTACATGTATGTCAAACTTTTTCTCTTGAAAGCCAATACTTATAGACTTTAACACATATCTTGTACTAGAAATGAACCAATAGAAAGTCTAAGCACATGGCAAATTTTCAAGAGAGGAGTCAAACTCTGTGAAGCGACATGCAGATAACAGCAGTACCCAAGTAGACATAGGGCCTCTAAAAATGAGCAAAAACACTGTCTGACGGCTCCACTCTACTTAAAATTCCTACTAATAACACAACATAAAGTGCCTTTTATAAACACATGTGAAGCAAAGAAAGGTTGAGAGAGAGAAAAGAGAACAGCAAATATACAAAATGTCATGAGCCGTAGGAGTTGTGTAGGCCAGTAAACCCTATTTAACACTGGACAGACCAGAAGCTTTTGAAATTTTCTCCTTCACTCCCACGAGTATTTGATAAATGGATTGCAAGGACATCCCGTCCACTGACTAGACTCTTGCTCTGGTTTTAGATCAATGTGTTTGCCATTTTGTGAAAGATCTTTCAACATTTCATGAACAGAAAATTTGAACGTTTCCAGGCACTCGGCAATATGTATTTTGATCTTGTCCAGTCCCGGATGTCAACATATGCATGAATGTCAAATTTCTGATGCCACTTTTTGATTGACAGGCTACTAACCAATCAAATTGCACTATTACTCCCTGCTCGTGAGCCAACAGAGTTCGGTAAAATGTTTGGAATTGAATGCAGGCGATTCTTTTTCTTCCCATCTGCACCCCTCCCCCTTCTCGCTCACCCCCTCCCCATTTTTTTCTCATCCCAGGCACACTCCTTCGTTCACCCGCTTGCTCGATTGCTTGTTCAATCTCTCCGCATGGAAAAGGAAAGGAAACAGCTGCTATGCAGGCTATCGGTTATCTTGAGTTCAGAAATTCAGAAATCTTCAGAAAATGTTTGGAAACTTTCGTCTGACCTTCAGACAAATTTTTGAAAATCTTCGGAAATCTTTTGAAAGTGGTTGGAAATCGTTAGAAAATTGCCAAAAACGTTGTTATGTAATGTGAGAATTTTATACAATAAAAGGAGATTTGAAATTTCTATTCTTGTGTTGAAAAATGTAATATCCTCTATATACATAATATTGGAGCAGTCCAGGTTTGAGCCCTGGCTGGGGACATTGCATCGTGTTCTTGGGCAAGACACTTTACTCTCACAGTGCCTCTCTCCACCCAGATGTATAAATGGGTACCGGCAAACTTAATGCTGGGGGTAAGGTCCCCTGTAATGGACTGGCATCCCATCCAGGGGGGAGTAGAAATACTCCTAGTCACTTCATGCTACAGAAACTGGGATAAGCTCAGGCCTGATGGGCGACTTGGCTCTTATAATAAAATAGAACATAGAACAATAAACCTCTTGGAAAAATTAACTGACTCTGGGCTGTCATTAGTAGCCGGCAGCCAGCAATTATCACCAGGTACTCTGATGAAAATCACCGGCTACATGTACTTCAGTCGAAATGACACCAAAAGTTTAGATACCGAACAAGTCTGACCAGCATATTCATTTCCTTGGTAGAAATGTGAAAAGTAAAGCATCTTATTTCCGAATTGTCGGCTTTTCTTCCAAGAAAAGTAATGACAAAGTAGGTTTCTCAATATATCACAAAGTCTGCGTTGCGTACTGAGTAGTTACCAGGACTCCTCTCTGCTGTTACATAACATTTCAGTCTGACCTTGCCCGTGACTGAAAAGCCTTATGGGTTTATAATATGGCTGCGAAGAGAAGACAAGCTTCACTGGATAATTTTTTCACCGTTGTTTCTAAGACCCCAAAAGATAAGTGTTTAACATTTTAAAACTTCAACCACAAGGCTTTTTAAAATTGTCGTATTTTTTTGCACAAGACAACTTGATACGATGAATTAGCATTTCATGAGAGTAATTGAACCGGAATGACGTTTGCCTGGTAACACTGCAGGAATCCTATGAGGTAGTTTTCACTGAGATTCCCTAGCTCGTCCTCAAATGTCAGAGAACTAAATAAAAATCTCTCTCCTTTATACTTATTCTACAAATTCAATCAAACTGTTTCACCAGCCAACAAACTCGAGTTTATTCGTAACATTTGTAGACAAAAACTTCTATCATTTTTATAAGAGGGCCTGCCTTAAAATGTTTCCAGGAAAAGGCCGACTATTTTTTATCAGCCATCTACTTCAAAACTTACTGAGTATAAATATGTAAAATAACTGACTAATCATTAATGCTGCTCTTTTCAAGAAGTGAGACTTGTTGGAATTTCTCTGAGGAAAGGCAATTTTTGGCAATTTCAAAACATTAAACTTGTTTTGCTTCTGGAGGCTTTCCCCCCTGGATGCCCAACAGGGCTCTGCCCCTGTACCCCACTGGGGGCCTCAGCGGTCCCCAGACCCCTCGCCTGTGGGGGGGCCTGGGCCTCCGGCCCCCATAGCCGTCTACTTTCTACATATATCCGCCTACTTCAAATCTTATAATATTGACAGCCCTGACTGACCCAAAAATATACTCATGGAAATTTATTGAACTCAAAACTTTTATAGTATTATCAATTTGAAATGCAAAGGAATCATCTGCACCTTCCTGTCCCTTTTACAGTTACCACTGTTTGTCAGTGACTACAGTATGTGTGTCTTGCAGTCTCAATTTTTTCACAAAACTGTCTCAGAGTCTCAATTTTTCTGCAAGACCAAGAAGTGTCAAAGTCCTGATTTGTTTTTGTAAATGATGACTGAATATAATAGAGTCTCCATGTCTCATGCACACATTTGAATCACTTATTGAAGTCTCAATCTCGCAATTCAAAAAGTCAAAATGTCTTGAGATTGTAAAGGAAATGCTATTCTCCCCTTCTCACAAACTCAGACTGAATTAACCATTCACCACCCCTTTTTTACAGGACAGACCAATCGCCATCCTTATCCATTTTGTTCCTAAAATTTATTTCCTTGCTACAACAATGCAGTTCTAACTGATCAGGGACAATTCAGTCACCTTAATTTCTCCATACAAAACCCACTACCCACAAAATGAGCCATTTTAATAAACGCTGTGGCTAAATGACTGGCAGCCAGTCAGGGTTTTCAGATAACTAGTAAATGACCAGCAGTCTGATATTTTTCTCAAATTTTAGGGAATCGAAGGAACCCATCCCATTCAAACTATCATGTGTCTATTAAGAACTGCCAAACGATCCAGAAGAGCTGTACATGTATAGACTACAAGACTAACGCTTGGTTTATGCTCGGCTTGGAGAGCGAGACCATGGTTTGTGACCGGCAGTCCTAGTTTAGGGAATCGAGCCAACCGATCATATCCAAACAATTATATTTCAAATAAGAACTGCAAAGCGATCTTGCAGATTCTTGTTCTTAATCGACATATGATTGTTTGAATTGGATGGGTTCCTTCAATTCCTTAAATTTAAGAAAAATTTCAGACTGCCGGTCATTCAGTGATTTGAAAACCATGACCGGCAGTCAACCCAAAAAAATCCTAAGTGTCACAAGCCATGGTCTCGCTCTCTGAGCCGAGTGTAAACCAAGCGTTAGACTTGCGATCTATACAGCTCTTCTGGATCGCTTGGCAGTTCTTAATCGACATATATGATAGTTTGAATTGGATGGGTTCCTTCGATTCCTTAAAATTTGAGAAAAATATCAGACTGCCAGTCATTTAGTGATTTGAAAACCTTGACCGGCTGCCGGTCATTTAGCCACAGCGTTTAATAAAAATTCTCAATTTGCACAAAGGGACATGGACACAGCACTATTTAAATTAGCTCATGTTCACACGAGATTTGAAATTCATAAAGAAATACAAGAGTTTTAAAATAATTAACAAAAGTTCAGAGCTACCGCGTGCAAAATGAAAAAGCAAACTATAATAGCTAGATGGAAATCCTCTGTGTTTAAGCCTAATTTTTAAAAAATAGAATTTTTGCACCTTTTATAATTTTAGCACCTTTTAGCACCTTAAGTGTTGGTCGAGAGGATTTTTAAGGTGTTGGGATTTCGTTTTGTAGCCTATTTAAGCTCAAACAAAGGTCAGTCTCGGATACTTTTTGTTCAAAACAACGGCGGGCCCGTGCCAGTTGTAAGAATTTGAATTTCCCGCTGTATAAATTATAAAAGCGCAATGTGTTCACAATATAATTCAGCCAAGTTCAGTGCTTACTTAGGTAATAGCAACAGAAAAACACCAGTAGAAAAATTATTCAGTAAACAGCAGCTTTTGTTTTTAAACTTACCTTTAGAATAATTTGCCAGGCTGTTGTCAGTGAGCTGGTGAGCGGCATCAAACGCGTACGTACGTGGTCTTCATTTGAGTGTTCTGCACCCGTCACAGCCATTTTCCTTGCCCCCAAATCCAACCAAACGAGGAAAATATGCTTAAAAGGAAAATGATACCATGCATGCCATATTAATCGTGGTTTTGGCACCAAAATAAGTTTATAATCCTCTCAAATCTGCAAACTCCCGTCGCCATGTTTGCTCTTTACCAGTGTCTTCGCGTCACGAGAAAACGCATAACGTCACGAAAACTTTTCACGGTTTACGCGGGAACCAGGAAATCACGCGGGATCACGTTATTTATTGCTGCACTGGGAAGTTGTGTGCGTCATAACAGGCTTTAATGCCTGCAGCCGGTTCCAAACTTACTTTAACACCATGCAACATCCAGACACCAAATATATTCGAAAACAGAAATGTCATACGCTATAATCTAAGAATATTCACAAGATTATTTCATCCTAAAATCGGCAAAAAATATGAATATTCAGCCTCGGCTGGAAAAACAATGTTCCTATATAAATGCTAAATGTTACAGTCAAACCTCTCCACATGGAGAAGCAGGGTTGTAATATGACACCAATTTTATTAGGGAGGGGAGGGTAAAAAGTTTTCAGTTTTGAAAAAATATATATGAAACAGAAACAAAATGTTCAGTTTCTAATTAATAAACCGCAAGCTTTTTTAAATACTACAGACAGTTAATGTTCCCTTTCGTCAAATGGTACCGTACAACCCGACGATGCACGGTACGGAACAGGTTTCGAGAACTTTTATTGCTGTACGCCCAGTCAAAAATGGGGTTTTGTATACTCTGTTTGTCAGTCGTTGTGAAGAGGTCATTTTGGCCGGTTTGAACACGCTTAAATTGTGTCTTAAGTGGCCGTTGTAGAGAGGTCAAAACAAGAGTGAATGTATGGTACAAAAAAAGTTGCCGTTGTGGAGAGGTGGCCGTTACAGGTTCGAATTTACAGACGTCCCTGTTTTCAGCTCGAATCCCAAATATCACCTCAAAGAAAAGCCAAATCCCGCATCCCGCCAAACCTATTAGGGACCCTCTTTACATAGCTACGACTCGCACCTAATATTACGCGGTATCTGAGGTGCCTGGCTAACTCTACTGTAGACCTAAATTCTCTAATTTCAGAACTCTATCCCAGACTGAACTGCTTGACTATGACCGTACCCTAGTGTACATTTACTTTCGGAGTTTGCTCGAATAAGCACCGCAGCCCTTTTGAAATCAGTTTTCGCGCCTCAAAACTCAAAATGCAGCGCTCATGATTTGAGGGTGGTGCTTATTTCTTGACGAGATTTTGCAGGGCGATGAAAAAGAAGACAAAACTCGGTTGTAAGGAAATTTCACCGTAGGGAGGATCATTTGTATCAACAATAATACAATTAACAATAAAACATAAAGTAATCCGCTATCTAACTTGTTTCTAAAGGAGCTCAGTCACGCTATCTTGAGTTATTTTGGCCAT